TAACCACTATTGACTGATTAATATTATTTATCTTAGGAAATGGAAGAGGCACATTCCTGGATTTCACACTTCATTTTTGTTTAAGTATTAATAAACATGTAAAAATTGATAAAAACAAACATCACTGTCTGTGTTTCCTACTTAAATTTTCATAAAATGTATTAATGAGCTGGAAATATTCCTAGATTAGATTGCAGAAATCTGGTCACCTTAACATAGATTTACAAAATAATATCTAACGCAAACTAAAAAAAAATCGTGGATGTGTCACCCAATAATAAAAGAGACATAAAGCGAGATTATGTCACCTAATGCTCTCCTAGACTAAACATTTAGTTCCCTCCTGTAATCTCTGCCTCACCAGTAACCGAGGTTAGCTAACCTGCGGTGGTTTCTACTAATTACCCTCTATGTGCTCAAGGATCACCAACTATTGACATAAGATTGAGGCCTAAACCAAATACTTTTACCTTCATAAACTACCACCCGATTCATCTATTAGGAATATATGACATGTCTATAGCCTTACGATATGAAGGGGATCGATATATATGTTCATGCTAATGTTGGGCCTGTTAGCCTAGCATGTTTCACAGATTTGATATTAAATTCATTTCGCTACAATATTGTCAAGGAAAACTAATTCGACGTCGTTTTTGCTTTTAATCTCGGTTTTATCTCGACACGTGCAGAAGTTGTCCTACATGTTGTGTTTATTTGACAGAATAGCTAAAACTGAGGGTTTGTTTACGTAGCTAGTCTGTTAGCAACATGGCTAATAGCTTAGCGCTACAGAACACCCCCCTTAGCTTGTTCTCTCTGCCTCTTTCCAGAACCGATTCTAACCGTTACCCCCCTGGACCCCCCCGCCGGGAGATACTCACTTGGCCTCGGCCGTGACCGCTGCGGACTCATGTCGATTTTGATGTCAATTTTCCGGCGAGCTTCTTCATTTTCAAGCTTTAGCTTCTCTTCGATTCGCGACAACCTCTGTTCGAGCGACGACATCTTGAAAAATTGAGCACCATGTAGCTGCCCGCCCCGCAGAGCTCTCTGCTCCCCTCTCTGGCAGGCAGCGGTATAGCAAGTGCTTTATACATTTAATCGCCCAGGAGCAATGAGCATCTTCTTCCCGGTAAAAAAAAAATATACATTTGTATACTCCGTCGTAAGAAAAGCATCCCTACGGAAGAAGATTAAAGCCACTGAAAAAA